ACACACACACACACACACACACACACACACAGAGAGACACACACAGGAGACCGATGAGGACTGCTGCACACATTACACAGCAAATACACATGATTGTGTCTTTGTTATCATATTAGGGTGCTCCATGATACTGGAAAAAGCCTGATAACTCCATGTATTGTTTTTCTGAGATATATATTGCGATGTGAAAAAATACAGGCATTTTTAGCAGATGACTTCTGTTATAGCTTTATTTGGAAAGAATTTATTTAAACATTTAATCTACCAATATTACTTTATATTTTAAAAAATATTGTTTATTTTCATATTACTATAATACCATTGTACTATATTTAATATAAAAAAAAAAAAACTGAAGTAAAAAATAAAGTTTAAATTTCAATTTACAGAACAATAGTTCAATTGCAATAACAATATTTGTCTTAATTCCTTTTTTTCTAACGTTAAACCATCAAGCTTTTATTTTTATCTTTCAAGAAGAACTTAAAGTTTCAGTTTAGGTGATTACTGATAATTGTTGAGTTTCCATAATTGATTCTGTAATTTTCCTTTTGATTCCTGTAAAGCTACTTTGACACAATCTGTATTGTATAAAGCGCTATAGAAATAAATGTGATTTGACAGGTTTATAAAGTGTATTATGTGTGTGTTTATGTGTGTGTGTGCGTGTGTGTGTTTATGTGTGTGCGTGTTTGTGTGTTTATGTGTGTGTGTATCTGTGCGTGTGTGTGTTTATGTGTGTGCGTGTTTGTGTGTTTATGTGTGTGTGTATCTGTGCGTGTGTGTGTTTATGTGTGTGCGTGTGTCGTGGCCAGATCAGGAAACTCGTCCTCATCCTGAACAACAGACAGACAATCAGTCCCAGAGTATGTGAGTGGAGTGGCAACAATTTCCCCTCCGCGCTCCGAGCATGTGTGTGTTCATGAGTGAGTGTGTGTGTGTGTGTGTGTGTGTGTGTGTGTGTGTGAGAGTGTGTGTGTGTGTGTGTGTGTGTACCTGAAAGTACAGTGGCTCAGGTGTGAGGTGTGTGTTGGGTGTCTCTGAAGGAGTCGATCTCTGTCCTCCTGCACGACCTCCAAAGCTCATCTGGAAGTCCTGCGGGTCAGATCATGCAGAATAAGTCAGAAGAGTCAGAGCAGCATGTCATGTGATGTGTGTGATGCTCGAGTGTTACCTGTGTGTAGTTCCTCTGCTCAGGTGTTCTGCCTCTGTGATACGCTGTGTTCCTGTCTGTCCACGGCTTCTGGACGGTCTGTGAGGCTACATTCCCCCAGCTAACAGCTGCACCTGCACACACACACACACACACCCACACAGACACAGACACACAGACACACACACACAAACAAACACACACAGACCAACACACACAAACAAACACACACACACAAACACATACACACACAGAACCACACACAGACCCACACACACACACACACACACACACACAAACACACACAGATACACAGACACACATGTACACTTTAAAGGCCTGTTTAGGAACCATAACGATAACTACAACTACAACATTAACCATAGCAACAACAATAACTATAAGAATGTAATATAACTGAAAAGATAACTATTACCATAACTAGAATGATAACTATGATGACAGATATAACGATAACTGTAGCTATAATAACTATATCTATGACAATAAATATAATGATAACTATAACAATAATTATAGCAATAACTATAATGAAATCAATAATTAACAATAACTGTAACTGTAATAACTATGATAACTTCGATGAACATTAACGATAAGTATTATGACTAACTAATGATAACTATAGCGTTAATTATAATGACACTGACTGATAACTATAACAACTATGAAGTCAACTATAATGATAACAATAACTATGATGATTATGATAACATCAATATCTATGATGACAACTATGATGATAACAAAAAGTATGAAGAGAACTATGACGATAATTGTAATGATAACTAAAATGCTAACTAAACAATAACAACAACAGATGATATTGTTCTGTTTATAATAAGTGCACTTCAGTTTTAGCGTCTGCTGCTTTAAATGCTCGAGCTCTTTAAAGCCAGATGGATTCTGATCGTTCATGAGCCCAAAAAAAGAAATAATCGTTCTGAAAGTGATTCCAATGATATCATTCCTCTGTTGTTATCATTTTAGTCGTGGTGTGGACTAGGGGTGTGCGATATATATCGTCTGCGATAATATTATAATTGTTGTTTTAACGTTGTGCGATTTGACATTATCGAGTATTTTGCAAAAACCATTCAAAACACCCTCAGAGTGCACGCATACATTACGTGAAGTCTAGACAAGTGCATGTTCTTTCACTTCATGATTCAGTCTATTAAAATACATTTAGAATGATCACAAATTCAAGACATGATGGCAGAAAATTTATATATTTTACCACTCCATATAGTTAATCAATTTCACACGATGAGTGCTGTTTTTCTCCAAATATTACCATGATTACAAATGTGATATTGATTTTTTACAACAGTTCAATAAACAAGTTAATTAAGAGACACTAATATTGCCTGTTTTTGCTCTATTTCGACAACAAAAATAATTCCGAACAAAGCCACAGCACTGTTTTGTGTCTCTGAGCAAATAACGGTGATTCGTTCCTGAATGAATCAACCGTTCAAATGATTCGGTTCAATCGCAGTGACTCACTTATTAACAGTGACTTGCTGCCACCTACTGGCGGTTTTAATTTCACATTCAAAGTATCTTTTCATTTTTTAAATAATTTCAAATATCAGTATTCAACGTTTTATGTTTAATATATCAAAACATTATTTATGCATTTGTAATTGCAGGTTAAAGTATTCATGTCTTGCATTAAACAGTGTGTAAATACATCTAAATATATTTACTTCAGATGCAGCTTCTGTGTTGATTTCATTTGCTTGGTAACAGCCCAAATGTCTTATTATTCTAATTCACTGATTAAATGTAAGAATTTGACTCAAAAGATATTGGACACTTTTAGAGAAAATGGCTTTATAAAAGTAAAAATGCCCATAAAATGTAAAAATCAGTTAAAACTGACCACCACACAGAATATGAAGAATATTAAAAACATTAGGAGTCAGCTGTCTGTGGTAGTGGCACAATAACACACTCGGCAAAATATCGTCTAATTATCGTTATCGATAAAATCCCAGAAAATATTGAGATTTTTTTTTTTTGTCAATATCGCACACCCCTAGTGTGGACTCACTATTCTCTTAGAGTTAGAGTGATTATTAAAACTATGGTTACAGCTTGTGGTGAACTCATGAAAGTTCAGGTGAAAGTGAAGAATTTTACCTGTCATGACGCCAGCGTCCACAGCCTGCAAACACACACACACACACACACACACACACACACACACAGAGATGAGAGACCCCTGCAGTTTTAATCAAGTTTATTATAATCCACCTACGTCACATCTTTACTGATTAGTGCATTTTGCCAAGTCAAGCATTACTAGTACTTGTGTCTCATTAGAGCTTATGATTTGTTTCAAAACTACTAATCCTCTGTATTAAACCTAATCTTGAGATTTTTTTTTTTTGTCAATATCGCACACCCCTAGTGTGGACTCACTATTCTCTTAGAGTTAGAGTGATTATTAAAACTATGGTTACAGCTTGTGGTGAACTCATGAAAGTTCAGGTGAAAGTGAAGAATTTTACCTGTCATGACGCCAGCGTCCACAGCCTGCAAACACACACACACACACACACACACACACACACACACAGAGATGAGAGAACAGCAACCATATGTGACCCGTGCCGGCTAAATGAGTGTGAATGCGCATGGGCTAATTTTGAGCTACAATCAAAAAATGTGAAAAATTTAGATTTTGGTCGAATTTGGTTGGTTTTCACAAAAATGAGTTCAATTAAGCCCTCGTCTAGCGATCCCAATGCTCCAAATAGTACATAAACATCTAAAAGTATCTTTATTTGTACGTCTCATTAATGTTAATCTAAGAATAACAGAAAAGATCGCTGCTCTTGATTGAACTGCTTTTGTAGATTTAATAATCAATGTATTTGTAATGAACACACTGAAGTGATTTTTGCATTTATATTATTTGTTTTTCTTACTTCAATGTTTTTGTTTAGATGTAAAATGTAAAAAGTAACGCACTATTTGTTTCTTTCTTATATTTGTTCTATTGTTGTTTTTTTGCATCTGTTCTGAAATATATATACTGTATGTGTGAGTGTTTGTAAAATGGCACAGCTTTTTAAATATCTGAAAGAAAAAAAATGGTGGGGGGAACTATCGATAATAATAATAATACGAATTCTACTAATAAGAACAATATAAAACGCACTAAGGATTAACAAGCTGCTGGATTCATAAATATTAATCAGGTTGTGTGCGTTCGCTCGTACTGATTCGCTGAAATCAAATGAGGGACGATAACACACATTCCTCCTCACTATAATGAAGTCAAACAGACATGTGTCTCAGGCCAGACAAGCTGAACGTACCGTGGCGGCCGTGTGCTGATTGGTGGAGGTGTTGGCGGCTCCCTGGTTGTGTTTGGGGCTGCAGTAGCCGCTGTCGCTGTCGATGTCGGCCTCGCTGGCTCCCTGCTCGCTGGACGACTCCTGCTGAGACGTGCGTCTGCACCCAGCTTTATTCTTCCACTGAGGACTCGCCTGATCCGACGCACATCTGACGCTGCCAGACGCCTCGCCGGGGAAATCTGAAAACACAGTGTGTTCAGAGCTCAGGGCTCACTGGCTCAGGAATAAAGCAGGAGTTCTGCAGTGTTTATGAAAGTACGTTTAATAAGGAATAAATAGAAGGGAACATCAATATGGCCTCTTGTATTAGCAACACTTCACAGTTTCAAAATACAAAAATCTCCTTTCCTTTTAAATTCATTTTACAAAAAAAAAAAAGTTTATGGCTTGAACATCTCTGCGTCCAAACACTAGAATATGGAAATAATTTTAACTGTACCTTCTGATCACACTGCAAAAAATATTCTCTGTCTTGTCTTCCAGTGCAAATATCTAAAGATTCCTAAATCAAGAATCATTTACTGGAGACGCAAAATGACACTAAGAAGTCTTGTTTTACGAGAAAATGATCAAAATGAATTGATTTTACGATTAAAGGAAGAACAAATATCTGCAAATGAGCTCCGAAAAAATCAAATTAATTCACAGCGAAAAGTTTTCATTCCCCAGTGACAGATATTTGTTCTTATTTTAAGCATAAACTTACTTCGTTTTGTTCAGAAAACAGGACTTCATGTGTTCATGTTGCTTCTCCAGTAAATGTATCTTGATTTAAGGACGACTGAGGAAGAGATTCATTTTTTGTAGTTCATGCAACATTTAATGCCATGACTTTCTGCTTCAATTTAAGAGCTTTCTAGGCTTTAATTTTTGGAAGACTTAAAGCTGCAGTCCTTAACTTTTAAATACAGAACAGAACTGCGTGCGTCCTGCAGAAGAACATTCTTCTCTCTGTTTATGTCTACTCCGCAGCGGTTCCACCAGTGCCAGTCTGAAATAGTCCGAATATAAACACTTATTTATTATAGGTGTACCGTAGTGATTCAGGATAAGCCAAGAACACGGTTTGGAAAATGGATTCATGATGCACTCGCTTATTATATTAATTTAGTAAATTTCGAACACATAAAAAAAGTTACGGACTGCAGCTTTAAAAGACCTTTTTTAAGTCTTGCAAGTAGCCTGTAAAGGTCAAAGGTCAGCTCAGTACCTGTCTGCTGCGCTGCATCCACCAGCAGCACCGTCTTGGATCTCCCATCAGGCCCGGCGGCACACACCTCCTTCTGTACCGCCACGCTCCGCATCACGGGACGCTTGCCTCTCATTGGCTGAGCCACTGGCTGCTGCGAGCGACACACATGAGCGTTAGTTTACACTAGTGAGCAGACTTGAGTGTGTGGGTTAAAGGCACAATATGTACGATTTTCAGACCATATTTAACATAAATGGTTCATAAAGCATTATTTTCAGCTTTATATTTGGTATACAGTACAGTCATCTGTAAATATATTTTCTCAGGGTTTTGTTTTTTTTATTGATTTTCTCGAAGTGACAACCTACAGAGTCCCTAAAATAATTTTAAAAAAATACATGCACACAAGAAACTTTGTTTGTGCCCTCGAGAAACTATTCACATGCGAATAGTTTGTGAATAGCGAATAGAATGGGAATTTTTTTGCATGCTTACACATTACAATTTCTAGCTTTACATAACCTAGTTCCTTTGTGCATCACTATGAATAAAACGAGAGCATGGATGCACATGAATTAACAGAGATCTACTTGCTCAAAATTTGGCTTTTCTTATTGTATTACCTCTAATATCAAGGCATAATGTGAATAGAGAATAGAATTGGAATTTTTTTGCATGCTTACAACATTACAATTTCTAGCTTTATATAACCTAGTTCCTTTGTGCATCACTATGAATAAAACGAGAGCATGGATGCACATGAATTAACAGAGATCTACTTGCTCAAAATTTGGCTTTTCTTATTGTATTACCTCTAATATCAAGGCATAATGTCTAATTTAACACATCCTCTGTGGCGGCGCAGAAACATGACACAAAATGGGCTGATGACATAAAATTTGCCAAGTTCAAGGGTCTATAAAAAAAGACTGGTACTGTAAAGTGTTTCAAATGTGGCTTTCATTAGGGCAGTATGCAATATTTCAAGGCCTTAGGGCTCTTTAATGCATACTCTGTGACGGCCAAGAAACCACACCGCGAATTGGGCTGATGGTGCAACAGGTGGCTCAGTGTGCATTGTCCTATATGCTAAGTTTAATGGTTTTTCATGCGCACATAGAAGTCTGTATATTTTTTATTTTTGCAAAGGTCCTTGAGACTGTGTAATACGGTGCTAAGAATATGTGACCCTGGAGCACAAAAGCAGTGTTAAGTCGCTGGGGTATATTTGTAGCAATAGCCAACAATACATTGTATGGGTCAAAATTATACATTTTTCTTTTATGCCATCTGCCATGAAATCTCAGTTCTTGTACAATAAATTTATTTTCATTAAATTCTTAATTTTGTATTATAAAAAACTAAATAGGGGCTGTAAACAGAAATATTTTTCCATACTCCGCTTTCTTCTTTTTTTCCATACTTTTCCAAACCCCTGCTGTGCCTTTAAAGGGATAGTTCACCCAAAAATGAAAATGTGATGTTTATGTCTTGTACCTTGTTTAGGACGGGGTTTCGTGAGACGCCTCTCCCTCTCTGCGTCTGGCTGCAGTCGGAGACGGGGTTGAGCACGCCGGCCTGCAGGGGCCCCGTGTACGGCCCCGGGAAGGGCTGGTAGAAGCCCATGACGGGAGGGCAGGGTGTGGGCATGATGGCGTGGTAGTACGTGGGGTAATCGCTGGTGACGGGGGCCTGCGGGGACGACAGGATCGGGTACGCCAGGTACGGCCCGCCGGGGCTCGGGTTCAGCTGCTGCCAGCGGTGATCTCCGTTATACACAGGCATCTGCCGACTGAACCACACACACAAACACAGCTCATAAAGTAGGGATGCATCGATCTAGAGGTGGGCGATACGGCAAAAATATCATATCACGGTTCTTTGTAATGTTGGTTTTTCTATTTTGCAAGCTGTCTGAGCATTACAGCCAAACTAATGTCCCTATTATAAAGACAAAGCCTTTCAAGGTAGCATAATATAAAAAATAAAGGCGGATATTTAGGCCAAAGTGGGCAAAGATAAAAATCTTTGTCATTATTTTATCTTTGTTATTAAAAAATTAGAACAAAGATATTCAAAGATAAGCATTACTTTGACAATATGCCAATGATAACAGTAAAGAGAAAAGAATGATTAACTGAAAAACAATGGAAAAGCAGCGCAAGCGAATAAAAAAATGAAAGCTGCGGTTCATTGTTTATTTATGATTTTTCATTGTTTTTACAGAACATTTATAGTTAATAATAGTCTACTGGTGTTAAACCTTCTTCAGTCATTTTGAATTTGAATTACCTTCACTGAACATTTATGTATAAGACAAGTTTGTACAAGATTTGTAGTTCATGCGTCTTTTCTGCAAAGATATTTAACAAGTGATTTGTTGAACATTTACATCATGTGTGCTGCACTTGGAATAGAATTTTCTTTAACTAGAGGGTTTATAAAGAAAAAGTTACTTGAATCATGTTGTAGTTACATTTTCAAGTTGACTAGTTGATCGAGTTTTTTTTTTGCCATATCGCCAAGCCCTAGGCTGAACTATGTGTTGGTCTGACCAATGGCAGACAGGGAAAACTGTTTGAAACTGTCTGTTTTTTCCATTTCCACGCTGTGATTCAGCTGTGACACACACACACACACACAGTGGCACAAAGTGTGCACTTCCACCAATTCAAAGTGAACAGGAAGGGAAAGAAGCAGGATCCATCGGGAATAGAGGCAATAACACACAGATATGCAACTGTACACAAGTCATTTCATAGACTTTTATATCACATTAGACTACAGACAAAGAGAAAACTTTGCATGATTTAATAAGGTTATTAATGCTGTGTATGCAGGTTTCGTTTTGTGTCTTAGGGCATCAATGTGTCGTCACGAGCCGCAGGGTTTAATTTGGATTTGTCTGTGCATGTTTTTTTTACTCTCATAGATTTTGTTACCATTGCCATGCATTATACGACTGATAGACTGCAACGGCTGGAGTTAAAAATCATCAAATGTGTTCTACTGAAGAAACAAAGTCACCTACATCTTGGATGCCCTGGGGGTAAGCAGATAAACATCATATTTTCATTTTTGGGTGAACTATCCCTTTAAGGACTCGTCTTGTACCTTGTTTAGGACGGGGTTTCGTGAGACGCCTCTCCCTCTCTGCGTCTGGCTGCAGTCGGAGACGGGGTTGAGCACGCCGGCCTGCAGGGGCCCCGTGTACGGCCCCGGGAAGGGCTGGTAGAAGCCCATGACGGGAGGGCAGGGTGTGGGCATGATGGCGTGGTAGTACGTGGGGTAATCGCTGGTGACGGGGGCCTGCGGGGACGACAGGATCGGGTACGCCAGGTACGGCCCGCCGGGGCTCGGGTTCAGCTGCTGCCAGCGGTGATCTCCGTTATACACAGGCATCTGCCGACTGAACCACACACACAAACACAGCTCATAAAGTAGGGATGCATCGATCTAGAGGTGGGCGATACGGCAAAAACATCATATCACGATTCTTTGTAATGTTGGTTTTTCTATTTTGCAAGCTGTCTGAACATTACAGCCAAACTAATGTCCCTATTATAAAGACAAAGCATTTCAAGGTAGCATAATATAAAAAATAAAGGCGGATATTTAGGCCAAAGTGGGCAAAGATAAAAATCTTTGTCATTATTTTATCTTTGTTATTAAAAAATTAGAACAAAGATATTCAAAGATAAGCATTACACTTTGACAATATGCCAATGATAACAGTAAAGAGAAAAGAATGATTAACTGAAAAACAATGGAAAAGCAGCGCAAGCGAATAAAAAAATGAAAGCTGCGGTTCATTGTTTATTTATGATTTTTCATTGTTTTTACAGAACATTTATAGTTAATAATAGTCTACTGGTGTTAAACCTTCTTCAGTCATTTTGAATTTGAATTACCTTCACTGAACATTTATGTATAAGACAAGTTTGTACAAGATTTGTAGTTCATGCGTCTTTTCTGCAAAGATATTTAACAAGTGATTTGTTGAACATTTACATCATGTGTGCTGCACTTGGAATAGAATTTTCTTTAACTAGAGGGTTTATAAAGAAAAAGTTACTTGAATCATGTTGTAGTTACATTTTCAAGTTGACTAGTTGATCGAGTTTTTTTTTTGCCATATCGCCAAGCCCTAGGCTGAACTATGTGTTGGTCTGACCAATGGCAGACAGGGAAAACTGTTTGAAACTGTCTGTTTTTTCCATTTCCACGCTGTGATTCAGCTGTGACACACACACACACACACAGTGGCACAAAGTGTGCACTTCCACCAATTCAAAGTGAACAGGAAGGGAAAGAAGCAGGATCCATCGGGAATAGAGGCAATAACACACAGATATGCAACTGTACACAAGTCATTTCATAGACTTTTATATCACATTAGACTACAGACAAAGAGAAAACTTTGCATGATTTAATAAGGTTATTAATGCTGTGTATGCAGGTTGTTTAAACACTGGCTGAGTGAATGTGTGTGTGTGTGTGTGTGCAAGTGAATGAGTGTGTGTGTGTATGTGTGTGCAAGTGAATGTGTGTGTGTGTATGTGTGTGTGTGTGTGCAAGTGAATGAGTGTGTGTGTGTGCAAGTGAATGTGTACCTGGTATTTATCACGTTATGGGGACCAAATGTCCCCATGTGTGTGTGTGTGTGTGTGTGTGTGTAAGCCTGTGTTTATGTGTGCAAGCCTGTGTGTGTATGTAAGCCTGTGTGTGTGTGTGTGTGTGTGTGTGTGTGTGTGT